GCTACCCCAGCACCTGGAGGCCGGGATGGACCATCCAAGTTGGGGGTGAATTGAGGGGTTACTAGAGGTGTATGTGTATCTGTGCTACACACACGGGACGTGCTAGTGAGTGTGGAGTGTGATGTGTATACAGCGGGCATACAGAAGACGTGTTCGTGTGCTGTGTGTGTGAGTGTGTGTGTGGTGTGTAGGGATATGTGTGGCAGGCATCAGTGTGTAGTGTGCACAGGCGTGTGGCATGCATGTGATGAGATGAAGTCCCCCAGGCTATGTCCCCAAATCTGGACCCAATGGACACCCTGAAGACAAACGACACATGACTCATTCCATTTGTCCAAAGGGCAGGAAAAAGCAATAAGACCTTTAATTTTAAAAAGGCACAGCTGGGCAAGTTCTTCATTAACACAGGCCTAAAAGAAAACAGGAGGCCACCACTGTGAGCTATTGCCTTTGACAGAAACCCAGAAAAAGCCGGTCCTTGGTGGAGGGGTTCCAGGCAGGACTGAGGGTCTGCCAACAGGGATCCCTGCAGGTGTGGGGAGAGGAATGGAGTGGGGGGAAGGCCATGGGGACATGGTCACACCCACAGAACCTGTCATTCAAGTTACACTATCCCTCCCGCAGCTGTTATGAGAGGGCCCCAAATGCCCCTTCACAGCTGGGAGCGGGGGAGACAGCAAACGCAATTAAGGTCCCAGGCTGTCAATGGCATCGGTTATTAATCTCCTTGTAGTAAATGTGAACCGGGACCTGCTTACACAGCCAATTGAGCATGCTCTAAATTAGTGTTTGCAGGTAATTGATTCAGCTGCCAGCCCCATGCCAGCCGGCTACAAGCCGGTTACGCCATGAACATTAAATAATACGAGGTGGTAAAATGGACTGCCTGATTGGGCCTGGAGTCCGTGCTGGACGAGCCCGATTTGTCCAAACATTAACGTCTTATTGGTTTAACACAATTTACTACACCTCAATTTTGGAAAATGATTTTCATTTCTTTGCTGGCAGGCGCAGCATAGAGAAGGCGGTGTCTTCATAAACGACATACATCAGCTAGCTTACACTTTTTCTCAACGTGCCCTCAAGACTGTATAATAAATCTTTGATAATTAAAAAAAAGGGGGGGGGGACAAGGCTTAGAATATGGTCTCCAGCTGGCATCTCAGTCTGTGAAGTTGCTTGTCCCGGTGCTGCCCACCTCCACCCCAGCTTCCAGTCCTGGCTGAGTCTTCCTGCCCCACCCCATCCCCCACTGTGTGGCCGGCAGGTTTGAGGGATGCCCACGAGTGCAGATGCCCACGAGTGCAGGGCACCATCACATGAAAAGAAAACCCACTTCCTTTTGGGCCCTGGAGTCAACTGCCCATGTAGCACTTGGGTCGCCCTGATCCACCTGGGCAGCAGTCCAGCCTATGTTAAAAGGCCATGGTCCCTGGATAGTCATCCCCTGCTTTAGAAGGCTTTGATTTCTAATTTAGCAGAGTAATTCTGAAGTCTCCAGTGGCATGCAGGGTGGTAGAAAATGAGCTCAGATCCTTTTCTTCTCTCGTCCATCAATCCACCCATCATCCATCCATCCATCCACCCATCATCCATCCATTCATCCATCCTCTATCCATCCATCCAAACAAACAACCCAGACATGTTTCCTGACACCAGCTACTGTGCGGGAAGATGAGACATGGCTCCTGAGGCATCTTTGGGTTCTCATGGAAACGGTGTGGTGGAGCCAGAAAGTGACCCAGACAATGGCAGACAGAGCCTGTGGGAAGACAGCTGGGATTAAGAGTTCAATTCATGGCTACAGATGTGCACGGGGCAGAGGAACATCCTCTTGAAATCTAGGCAGACATCCTCAGACGTGATGACATCCATGGACCAGTATCTTCCCACAGCTCCAGGAGCAGCCTTTGCACCTCCTTCCTATTTCCTCTGCTTCCACTCTTTCCTTGGACATGCTCCATGCCTGCCAGCCCCTTTATGCTAAGCTCTCAGGGGCCCAATGATCAGATGCTCCCACTGGCTGAGGCCACAGATAGATACAATTGGTTCTCAACCTTCCTAATGCTGTGACCTTTTAGCACAGTTCCTCATGCTACGGGGACTCCCAACTATAAGATAATTTCATTGCTATTTCATAATTGCAATTTTGCTGTTATGAATCATAATATAAAGTATTTTATATACAGGATATCTGCTATGTGATCCCCCCCACCAGGGGTCACAACCCACAGATTGAGAACCACTATTCTAGAACCTAGAAATATAGATCTTCTGTATGGGTCATAGATGGGTGTTGTACACGTGAGAGAACCAGTTGGCCATCATGGAAATCTGTCCGTACACTCAGCCAGATAACTCCCAGTATGCCAGCTAATCTTCAGGGTGTCCATAACTTAGGGATCTGGTCACCAAGGAAAGGGAGCCTGCAAGCTCTCTCAGGGCTCAACTCCAAAAGGATTCCCAACAGCCAAGTACAATTCGTAGCCTCTGTTTGAATCTTGGCTCAAGGAAAACAAATCCAAAAAGAAAAAAAAAAAGACAGTTTTATACCAATGCAGACCAATGTAAATTATAATACTAAGAACTTGCAGTCAGGGCACTGGACGGAGGGCTCAGGGTCAAAAGCATTCACTCATCTTCCAGAGGGCACACATCACATGATCCCTGGGACTCAAGGGTCAGAAGAGTTGATCTTCTGACCTCCACAGGCATGCTCAGGTGGGATTCAAGTTTAAAAAGAAAAAGAAAAAAAAAAAAAAAAAAAAAAAAAAAAGGCTTGTGCCAGTGCCAGTTAACCAATGGCTGCTGAATCTGGGATACGGGATGCTCAGGTACAGAAAGCTGCTTATACTGCTAATTTGGTTAGATGGGATAATGGCGGGGTGGTTACAGAAAGGGAAGAGTCTCACTGACTCACTGACCGAGAGGCATCTCCTGAAATATTTACATGGGAAATGACATGATGTCTGGGCTGCTTACATACACCAGCAAACCAAAGCACAAACACAAAACTAAACAACAATGGATGATGACCTCGGGCTCATTATGCTATTACAAGTCCTTTAGATTTCTGAAAAACAAACACCCTCCATTATACCAAGGCATTCCTTGTCACAGACCCGAAGCCCATGTAGCTCTGCTATGAGCTGCAGCAGGGTCAGGGTCAGGAGCTGAGGCAAGAAGGTCCCTTCCAGAAGCAGCCCCCGACAGCTAACTGGCAGGAAAGGGATTGTGAGGGCCCACACTGAGGAAAGCTATTCTTGCTCTGGTTTCTTGGTTATTTTTATTTGAGGCATCTGTTATGAGGCATCTGTTATGGGTCACTATGAGTCAACTCAACTGAGAACAGGTCTCTGGGGCAGTGCCTGTGTGAGGGAATCATTGCTCCTCCCCCCTCCCTGAGCTAGCCCTATAGATGCCTTCCCACCTCACATCCTTGAGGGGGAGGGGCAATGCAGTGCAAACTGCAGTCAGAGAGACTGTGCATGCCCCTCCCCAGCGTCCTTCGTGAGACAGCCTCAGCTTTGATGGACAGCTGTTACATGTGCCCTCCCAGGATATCACAGCAGCGGAGGAAGCCATTTTAAACAATCCTGTGCCCTTCAGGATAAGAAGAGAGACCTAGACACTCAACTCGCCTTTCAGAGTTAAGCTCTGCAAGGGCCTCCATCTGCCCATCCACAGTGGGCAGATGTCGCTACTGCTGACCCCTCCTGTGCTTCAGGGCTTTGCATTGATGAAGCAGGCAAGGCCATGGGGCATGGGATGGCACAGTGGTCCTGTTACTGTAACCAAATATCCAAGACAGGCTATTTGATAAGGAAAAGAGGTTTGTGTAGCTTAGAATTTTGGAAGCTAAAGTTCAAGATCAGGCTCACTGGTTTGCCCTCCTAAGAAGTCAGAAATTGGGCCAGACGGTGGTGCCACACACCTCTAATTCCAGCACTGGTCTATAGAGCAAGTTCCAGGACAGCCAGAGCTACACAGGGAAACCTTTTCTCGAAAAACAAACAAACAAGAGCCGGAGATCTGGGTGTGGTTAGGTTGGCTCTATTCATAACAATCCCTTTTCAGAAACTACTGAACCCTCGCAGTACAGGACACCCAGTGACAAAAGCCCCCCCCCTCCCATTAGGCCCTCCTCAAAGATCCAGCCCCATTTACATCACCACACTGTGGCTCCGGCTTCCAAGGCAGGAGCCCTTGGAAGACACAGCAGTGAATCAGCATCCCCTGGCACAGAGCAGGCCTGATGGTAGACTCGGGGCTATCTACATGGGAAAGCCACCAAGCACTCACAAGTCTATGTAAGGAAGGGAAACTGGGATGGGGACGGGGATGCACCTCTCCAGTGTCACCTTCACAGAGCTTCCAGGCCATGTGGTCACTGGTGGGGGACCCAGGACATGGACCTATAGGGGGCTGATCTGAGTCAAGAGATTCCTTGAGCATGGGCAGCAGTAAATCTACCCCAGGGTCCTGGAGCAGAGCAGCCCCCAGGAAGCACCCAGGCATTCCAACCTATGTGTGGCAAGTCTAATTGCAGCTGAAGGCAGATGGAGCTCTCCAGGGTGCTTTAGGAGCCACTTAACCATCCCTCGACCCAGTTGCCCGAGCACAGCAGACATAATGGTGGTGTTTACACATGAAAACCGCAAGCTGTTTTACTAGTGGCTTTTGGAGGCACAATCACGGCTATTTGGTAAAGTTTCCCCCACAAATCGCAGAAAACAAAGTCCAAGAGCGGAATGATGGGACACTAAGCCAGCCTGGAAAGTTATCAAGACCCATTACCATCAAACACTCTGCCAGGAGCCAGGGAGGTGGCCACCACCAGAGGGACCATAATCACTGCCTGGGATCCCAGTGCCGCCCGCCCATGATCCCCACTCAGTCGGCACACAGCGCTCCAGCCCCTCAACTGTTACTTGCTTGGGGAACATAAATGCCTGGTTCTTTTTAACATTTTAATCTTTACGAAGAGAGACACAGCTTACCTTTCCATCTCGTATTCTTTCATTCCCACTTTTACAGCCTTCATTACCTAGAGCGTGGGTATTAAGCAAAGACTTTTGTATTAAGCAGATAACTAACATGGCCTTATAAATAATGTATAACACTTTTTCAAAAGCTCCTCTTTACAGAAAAAAAAGAAAGAAAGGAAAAAAAAAAAAAAAAAAAGGTGATCCATGCACAGTGCTGCAGAAAAGTGACAAATAGGACCTTTTAACAGCTCCAGAATCCACAGAGTCTATTTAAACCATCGTGGAGCACTTTTATTAGGAAGCCGATAGACTCCATTCTGTAGCTTGCAGGGGGCCGGCAACCTAAAGACAAAGGATTTGACCAAGATGCTTGGCAAATCCCGAATATTAAGAAAGGGTTTTATTTATTTATTATTTATTGACTTTGCCTAATTTTTATAAACAGAGAAATTGGCTGGGGCAAAGATTACATGGCCTTTCAACCATCCTTGTCATCGCTAACACTAAGCTGTGATGGTCTCTGAGCAAGCAGGCTGTCCCAGGCACCTTGACTGGCTTTGAAATCCTGGCTTCCTTTGCATGTGAAGATGTTTTGGGAAAATGGGTGATGGTAGACTTGGTAAAACTGCAGCAGCAGCACTTGGGAGGTAGAGTGAAAGGATCGTAATTTTGAGGTGGCCTAGGCTACCCGGTGAGCTCAAGGCCAACCTGGGATATATAGCAAGACCCTGTCACTAAAAACAGAAAAGAAAGGGCTCAGGGGTTAGAGTCAGGTGTTGGTGGAGCACACCTTTAATCCCAGCACTTGGGAGGAAGAGGCAGGCAGATCTCAGGGAGTTTAAGGACAGCCTGGTCTACATAGCAAGTTCCAGGGCAGCTAGGCTTGTTATGCAGAGAAAGCCTGTCTTGAAAAACCAAAATAAAATAAAGCTAAAAAAAAAAAAAAAAAAAAAAAAAAAAAGAGTGCTTGCTGTTCACCCATGAGAACTAGAGTTTGATTCTCTGTACTCACACTGGGCAGCTCACAACTGTGTGTAACTCCAGTTGCAGAGGGTCCATCGCCCTCTTCTGGCCTCCAGAGGCATTGCATTCACATGCGCTACACAGACACATGTGCAAATGCATAGACACAATAAACAGACACTAATCTAGCTAAAAATTAAGGGGAAAATGATAATGGTGTGGTGGTTTAAATAAGAAAGGCCCCACAGGTTCACAGATTTGAATGTTTGGTCACCAAGGAGGGCACTATTTGAAAGGATTAGGAGGTGTGGTCTTGTTGGAGAGGTGCATCACTGGAGGTAGAGCCCATGCCACGCCCAGTCTCTCTCTGCTGCCTCTGGATCCAGATGTAGAACTTTTCCAGCACCATGTCTGACTGTGTGCCACCATGCTCCCTGCCAGGATAATGGACCAAACCTCTCAAAATGTAAGTGAGCCCCAATTAAACTCTTTTATAACAGTCACTGTGGTCATAGTGTCTCTTCACAGCAACGGAACACTAAGACAGCTGGCAATAGTTATAGCTACAGACATAAGATGCTTTAACATGAGCTGGGAAGTTCTAGTATGCCAGGAAGGAGGGCCCTGCTCTCTTGGAAGTAGGGGCATTTGGTTGGGACAGTCTCTGAGGACTGGGATCATGACCTTCGTGGAGGTGGGTGCCTTAAGATGGACAGAGGGAGCAGAGGCTCTCCATTCCTGCCCGTCACCCACCAAGAAAGAGAGAATTTCTCCCGAGAGACTGTCATGCGGTCCTTATCTTCTTACAGTTCTCCTGCACCCACCACAGCAATGCAGCCTGTGATGGTTTGGATGTGAAATCCCCCCCCCCATGGCCTGGTGCACGTCAACACTGGGTCTCCTATGGGTGGTGCTACCTGGGGGAGGCTGTGGAACCTTCAGGAAGAAGGGGGTGCTGATGAGTCCGAACTGAGGGCTACAGCCCAGCCTCACTTCCACTCCAGTCTCTCTGCTTCTTGGTGAGCTGATGATGAGCCTCTATATACCCCGCCACTGTGGAGTCACCCACCTCCACGAGTGGCCCAGCATTCCTCCATGACAGATTTCGAGCCAATACAGAGCCCCTCTCCCTGAAGCTGCTTCCTATCAGGTGTTTGACCACCATAGTTTAGCAAGGTCATTTCTGTACTGCCCAACCAGAGCTGGTGCCCAACTCACCTCACGGTGGGCCTCACTGGAGATCCGGTTTGTGTAGCGCAAAACCTCTAGCTCCATGTCTGTCTTGAACACCCGGCTGCAGAGAGGAGAGAAAGAAGGGGCCAAGTCAGGGACCTGACAGGCCTAGACCTTCCCAGGGAGACCAACTGCCACTCCTGGGAGGTAGGCCAGAGAGGCCCAACATCCACAGCGATGTGTGATCCTGAGCTATCTAGAATGACAGTGTGGGGAACGGAGCAGCTGCCCCTTGTCCTAGCCCTGGCCATAGGCAGGCAGCCTACAGTGATGATGGCTGGCAGCTGCTGCGGGCCCATCCTGCTTGAGTCAGTTTCCTCATCCACAGAAGGGGGATAATCTACATGGCACAGGGATGGGGCCGTACCCTGAGGGGTGCTGCTGGCATCCCAGGGACCTGCCCTGTTTGCATCCCTTGATCTGCCCAGCTCTAGTCCTTGGGGCAGCCCAGGGGCAGCATGTGATCAAGACAGGGTTGGGGAGCAAGAGACAAGGGGACGGTGGGTCTCACTACCCTGTGTGCCAGTACTATATGGAAACAGCTGGTGTGCAGAGACCAGGAGCCTGGCTGGGGGGAGGTACGAGGATCGAGCCGCAGAGGACCCCCAGGAGTCTCCTACAACCCAATTCCAGAGGCGTCACAGAGAACTCCCGGTAATGTGTTTAGTTTCTAGTCTAGAGTCACATAAAAGCAAATTCGCAGTCTCTGCCTCCACCCATCTGAAGTACCTAATGTCAACTCCACAAGCAGGGGAGGGGCTAAGAGCACTGGCCAGACAGATCAGAGCCCACCGCACCCCAGCTGTGGCCGAGACACCCCCACACTTTGCCTGGTTTTCCTCATCTGTTTGCCCAAGGGGGTGTTGTGAGAATTAAAGAGTTGCTTTTGAGACAAGGTCTCATTGTGTACCCCAGGCTGGCCTTGAACTCTCCAATAGGTGTGTGCCCAACAAAGCCTTGCATTTTGAAAGAAACGAGAGCAGTGCCAGGCACCTGGCCAGAGCTGTGTCTGGCCCATGAGTGGAGAGTAAAGCTTGCCTCATCAACACGCTCATCTTGAAGCCTTAGATGAGATGCCTTAACCCACATGGAAACAGAACTGCCATCCTTCAGTACTCCTGGGACCCCGGTTACACCCAAACCCACAAATGGCACACAGCCTCCACACATCCTACTGTATGTAGAAGCGTTTCCAGATGGCTTACCTTAGCCAACACAAAGGAAGAGCTGTGTGAGTGGCTGCTATGTACTGTTCAAGAAGAAATGACAAGAAAACAGGGCTCTACAAGTACACGATGAATCTGAAATATCCGTGGGGCTACTTATGTTTCTGATTACTTGTTCTCCAGACAGAGCACTGTTTGGGGGGAGATTCTAGAATTTTAAGTAGGGACTAAATGGAGGAAGCAGGTCATTGTGGCGGGACATTAAAATCTACCACCACGCCCTATAAGCTTTCTCTGCTTCCTGACTGGCCAGGGAGTGAGCACCTCCCCTCTGCCACACGCCGCTGCTCCCATGATGCTCTTTCCAGATGAAATCGTGAACCAGAACATCCCCCCCCCTCCCTTCAGTGAGGCTGGGGGTACTCTGGTCACATGGATGCAAAACTGACTGACATGACTTCAGACGCTGCCACCACAGGACTCAGCACAGAGCACGTGAACGATGTGGGGGCGGGTGTTTCGCTAGGGCAGGACTGACCATCCATAGGATAGCAGAGGCTAGACCAGGCCATCACACACTCCCTTTAGATTAGATCCAACAAGGTGCTCAGTGCTTGGTAGATGCAAGTACTGAGTTTTAGAATGTTCTGGAATTTTTTCCCCATTGTGGTTGACTGAACCTAAACTTGGCATTTAAAACAGGCCCACCCACAAAGCTGGACACTCCTTAGAAAACAAAACACAGCCTCCTTTCTTCTTAAATGGCCTTTTGTTGGGGTCTTACTTATGTAGGTCCCCTGCATGGCAACAAATGTTGCAACTTTGCCCTAACTCACCTCCTCAGGCATCAGGCACCCTTGTCCTTACACTATATAAAACAGGAACTCTATACTCAAACTACTGATCCACTACAACTGGAAAGGGTCATGTCCAACCATTCAAAAAGCTCAGGAATGAGAGAAATAGTTCCAGGCATACATCGGCAAATAAGATAGCCTATGGATATGAGACACTTTTAATTTATTTTTATTATTATTTTAAATTATGAGCATGTCTGTGTGTGAAGTTTGTGTACATAAGTGCTGTTAATTATGGAGACTGGAAGGTGTTGGATCTACCTGGCTGGAGTTACAGGTAGTTGTGAGCCACGATGTGGGTTCTGGGAACTCAGGTCTTAGAAGAGTAGTATGAATTCTTTCCTTTTTCACCTTTTTCTCCCTCTTTGGTTTTTTTCAAGTTAGGGTTCCTCTGTGTAATGGCCCTGGATGTCCTAGAAATCACTTTGTAGACCAGGTTGGCCTGGAACTCAGAGATCTGCCTGCCTCTGCCTCCCAAGTGCTGGGATTAGAGGTGTGAGCCACAATCGCCTGGAAGTACTATACATTCTTAACCACTGAGCCACCTCTCCAACCCCTGGGATATTTTCAGAAAGTGGCACTGGTCTGAAAGTATACTTAAAAACAGCAGAAGGTAAGTCGGTAAACACTAGTGCTCAGAGTGTGTGGCTTTGAGAACATCCACGAGAACTGGCTGGGTTCATTTCCACAGAGAGGCAAGAATCCTAAGAATACTCAGTGTTGTGCTGAAGGACACCCGGATTCCCTCAGAGAATAAGAACAGATGCACAAGAGCTACAGTGACTCACAAGGTACCAGGGTAACATGGTGCCCATCACCTTCCCGTGCATGTAGGAACGGGAGTCTCACTGTGGGTGGGCCAACTCAGGATTGTTTGCATCCTAATGCAGTGCAGTAAAAACACATGCCACCTACGATGCATCCTAACACATATCCTACACATACAGTGCCGTTAGATCTAATATCCAGCCTGCAGCAACATGAATAGGAAGGAGCACACTAAACATAGCCAACATGGATGCAGAAGGCAGAATGTTCTGCCGCAGCACCCCAGCCACCCCTCAGGACCTTAGCAGTTCCCCTAGAGGCCAAATAATGAAGCCTCACTCCCCAGGCTGCAGGGACATGGGGCCTCAGTAGAACCTTTACTGGGGCGGGCGGGGCAGAAGGGAGAAGGGTGTGGTCGTGGTTGTGGGGACTGGATGGCTGGTTATCCCTCTTGATTTGGGCTTGAGTAGTTCTCTTTCACCATACACATCTGGCCTTACCACAGACCCAGAGAGGCCATGGACAGAGACCTCTGAAAACGGGAGGTTTAAAAAAAAGCCTTCCATCCTTTATACTATCTTGGGAATTTTGTCACAGTGGCAAAAGGCTGACTAACGATCGTAGGTAAGAAAATGTCACTACATTCAGGGAAGATATGGGCCCACATTGGATATATGAAGGACAACAGGGGAAATTCCTGATTATAATTATTTTCTAACTAAAAAAATAGACTTCCTCATTAGCATATTTTACAGATTTATTTATGTGCATGTGTGTTTGTGTGTCACATGTGTGCAGAAGGCTGTGGAAGCCTGAAGAGGCTGCCCGTCTCCTGGAACTAGTTACAGGTGCTTCCAAGCACCTGATATGGATCCTGGAAACTGAGCCCAGGTCCTCTGCAAGAACAAGGTCTTAGGGTTTCTGTTGCTGCAATAGAACACCTGATCAAATGCAATTTGGGGAGGAAAGGGCTTATTTAATCTTACAGTTTGTAGCCCAGCATCCAGAGAATTAAAGGCAGAAACCTGGAGGCAGGAGCTGATGCAGAGGCCATGGAGGGGAGCTGCTTACTGGCTTGTTCCCCATGGCTTCCTTAGCCAGCTTTCTTAAAGAACCCAGGACCACCAGCCCAGGGGTGGCACCATCTGGCGAGCTGGGCCCTCCCTCATCAAACACCAATTAAAAACAAACAAAACCATCACGGGCTTGACCACAAGCCACAGATTTGGTGGGGGTCATTTTCTCAATTGAGGTTCCTTATTCTAAAATGAGTCTAGTTGGTGTTAGGCTGACATAAAACCAACCAGCACAAGCAGCTCTTGACTGCTGAGCCGTCTCCTTAGCCCTTCCTCATCAACCTGTTTTACACTGACACGCAAAAGGACATATTTATGGGTACAAGAAGGCATTTCTACATGTCTAATGATCCTATCAGTATAATTAGTATAATTATTTACAAAACCCTCAGGGTTACACTTTATTTTGAGACAGAGGCTTACTACACAGACTGGTCCAGGCTGGCTTTGAACTTGCCAACCTCCTTACTCTGCTCTGAAAGAGCTAAGGTCATAGTTATGTATCACCATACATAGCTATATATTATTTCTTTATATTAAAAACTCCTTCCCAGCAGCTAGTTCCAAATATTTGGTTAGTTGGCATGAATCATGTCTCTCCATCTGCACCCTCGTGTGCATTAACCACCCCATCTCTCCATACACCCTTCCAGCTCTAGTTATACTTTCTAACTTCAAAGTATACAAATGCTTTTACCCTAACAAAGGGGACTTTAATAAAAAAAAAGATATACCAAAGGGTACTAAATTAAAATATGGAGTAATTCTTCTTCTTTGCAGTTCTAAAGATGGGACCAGGGCCTTGTGTGTACTAGGTGAGGCTTTCCTGTGGAGCTGCATGCAATTCCTGGAGGTCTACAGCTGGTACAAGGGCGGAGGGGGGGTCTTTTTGCTTTGTTACTAAAAGCCTGCCCTTGAGGAAGCTGGATGGTGATGTTAGGCCAAGGAGGAGCTGCCACCTGGGGAATATTCCATAGCTCAGCATGGAACATAGCTATAGTGACGTCGGTGCAGACCCAGTTTTATGGTTTTGTTTATTTTTATTGTTGTTACGTTTACCTTTTACAGTTATCTTATCATCCCAAACATGTAAGATTTACTGCACAATAAAGCATCGGGGAAACTGAGAACCCTGACCCAAAAAAACCTGCTAAGAGTCGGAGGTGAGGGGAGCATCACAGGACGTGATGGGGG